GGCAATTCTAACTAGGTCTGTGACCAAGGACAAGAGAGTGTGACTGTAGATCAGGTAGGAATGGCGCCCCCAAGGGACAGAACTCAAGAAGATTCTATCCCTCGCAACCCATCCAGATGAGAACAGCGACTGTAGAGAGGATGAGTGACCTGACCACAACACCATAAAACAAGGAGCCATTCAAATGGGAGGAGGAAATCGGAATGTGGCCATGGAAGACGACAGTAAAATTAGGGGGTAGATACTATCCTCCGCAGAGGTCAGTGCTGCCAAGGTTAAGGCCATCTCCTTGGGACTGGACTGAAACTCAGAAGGAGGGGGATCCAGTTGTCACCCGCATTAGTCGCAATGACATTAATAGGAGTGGAAAGAAGGTTCTGCTGAAAGATTTTGAACAGTTAGGAGTAAACGGAAATACATGATAATCTCAGGATTACTACTGGAGCCACAGGTAGAGTGTAAATAAAGTCAAGGAGTTAATGTGTGACTGAAAGATTGGTGTGTGAGGAATGGGTTTCAGCTTTTTTTAAAATGTGCATTAATTGGACGTGGGCATTGCTGGTGACTAGCGTTTATTGCCCGTCCCTAGGTGCCTTCATGGTGGTGGTGGTGAGCTGCATTCTTGGACCTCTGCAGTCCATGGGCTGTGCTGTTAAGGAAGGCATTCCAGGATTTTGACATAGCAACACTTAAGAAATTGCAATTTATTCATGTTAGGCTTGGAAGGAAACTTGCAGGTGGTGGTGTTTGCACACATCTGCTGACCTTATCCTTCTTGATGGAAGTGGCTGCAGTTTTGGAAGAAGCTGTGTAAGGAGACTTGTGAATTTCTGCAGTGCACCTTAGGGATGGTATACAGTACTATAACTGGAGTTTAAAGAATGAAACAAATAAGATTCTTACAGGGCTTGACAGGGAGATGTGGAGAGGCTGCTGCCCTTGTAAGACAGTCCAGTGGGCCTAATTGCAGAATAAGGAATATCCCATGTAAGAGGAGGAGGATTGTTATTTCTCTCAGAAGGGACTGAATCTGTGGAACTTTTTATTGTAGAAGGCTGGTGAGTCTGGGTCATTAAGTATATTCACAGCTGGTATAGACAGATTTCTAACCAGTGAGGGAATCAAGGGTTGTGGGGAAAAGGCAGCAAAGTGGAGTTGAGAATTATTAGATCAGGCACTGAATGGCAGAGCACAAAATGAGCCAAATGGCTGACTTCTGTTCCTATATCTTAGAGAGTTAAGGTCATAATCAGATCCCGTGATGTTTGCGAATGGGATAGCAGGATCAAGGGTCCAAATGGTCTACTTTGCATGATCTTCTGATGACGTTCTAACATGTTTGAATAGTTTATGTGAGGATTTCTGATTCAAGTCCAAGCCTAGATGAAAGATGCTAATTTACCTCTTTGGATCCATACATTCACTAAGATTCACCATCCTTGGACCGAGGCTTCCTTTCTGATTTTTCTCCCAACCAACACACTTTGGACAATCTGTAAATTAATTTTATGTAGTTAGGATTGCTGATCACCCATTGTATCATTTCAAAACTTCGAAAACAAAAAACAATGGTGAAAATTTACAGCAAGTCATTTAAAGAAAGAAACAAACTTAACATCATGAGGAATCACTGCCTAAATGAAACTAAGGAGTGGCCACATCTGAGCCCCACACTCCATCTTTCACATGATTAACCTGTTCATTTTCTGTCATTTTACTTCAGCATTCCAACATTTTCTTTTCAAAAAGGTTTGCTTTTCTCCTGAAAGCATTACGGCTTTTTAAACTGATCTTGGAGAAACAGTTTAAATGTTTGACAGTTCCCAAATTTATACAGGTTTCCAACTGCTGAATTTCATTCCAGTACTATTCCTGTAGCTGAAGAACCAGGAAGTGCTTTAGTGCACTAAACATCCTTGGTTACATATTCTTCTTATCTTTCAATCTTCCAAATACACGGCAAATGTGCTTGTACTTAAAGCCAAAACAGGTTCTAAAAGTATATATTTTCACCTTTTCTGAGCTCAGTGATTTTATCTTTAAATAATATTCTAGCAATATCTTCCAGTGCTTTATTGTGTTATTCAGCTTGCCTATGAATTTGCCTATTAGCCTCAGTGGCTCTGTACATTGGGCCAAGACAGTTTATTTTTGCTTCCATAAAATGGGCATGATGAGTTAGCCACGTAATATTCGGGAACATTAATGCAACAATTCAAGGGAGTCCTGAACTTGCTATCCTCTTGTGTTTCCAACAAGCGTGCAGCTATTAAATTCTAGGAGATTTTGCCACTTTGTCGTGCCCTAGCGAGACAAAGGATTAATCAGGAACAGAATAGAGACACCACCTATTTCCATGAATAGTGCATCAAGAAACTATAAATTGAGAATGCGGCCGGAACTTTAACATTCCTTGAACTTTATCGGCCTGGATTTTGCAGTCAGAAGTGAATCAAGGGCACTCAATGCTGACCTTGAAGAAAGCAATCTTCCAGATTGTGGTTTCACTTCTCCTAATACCAAGTGAAAGATATGCTTTTGCATGCAGCAGCAGTGATGTCAGCAGACTGGTAGACAACCAATCATCTTGCAGCTGTCATATCAACACACCAGGAAGTTAAAAGCAATGATCATCCTTCACTTCTAATTTAAAATCTCTGATAATCCAGTATGAATCATTTGTTTAACTAATCTTCTTAAAAGAAGATGATTTCTTTTAAATGGGCCAGTGAGTTTGTTTAGTGACTGTTCTGAGCTACTATGCATTTAAAAGTTCACTTACATTTTTTCTACCTGGCCTAACCTTTACAAAGTACTTCAAAAGTGAGATCTAAATAGGGTGGAAGTAGGACTTCTCAATGACTCATGGCTGTCAGTTTCAGTCCTGTTAATGGCGGATCTTGATATCACTATCACAGCGATATTCCAATTACCTTTATACTTTTATGAAAGAAACTTTATTCAATTGTTTTCGGCAGTCCTGATCTTTAATTACCTGAGACTGACGCTATCTGTGGAAGTTTTACTTCAAAGGTGATGCTGTGCTGAGTGTCCCTGACTCCTTGCATAGTTCGGTCTCTGAAACAGAGAACTTCAAGCGTGTCCAGAAAGCTGCCCCTATCATCCCAAACAAAAGTATTTACTGAATTATTCCCAAAAAGAAATAAGATTTTCATTTACATAGTACATTTCATGACCTCACAGGTGTCCAAAGCACTTTCACCAAAATAATTTATTTTTTAAAAAGTACAGTAAGTGTTGTAATATAAAAAATGCAGCAGTCAACTTGCACCACACAAACAACAACATGATAATGAGCAGAGACGATTTGGTTGAATTATAAATGTTGGCCTGGACACTGGGGAAAACTTCCTTGTTCATCTTCATAATAACACCATTGGATCTTTTACAGTTACCTGTCATTGCAGATGAAACTGTGGCTTATTATCACATCTGAAAAATGGCACTTTCTGACAGGGCAGCACTCCCTCGAAACATCAGTAAAGTGGCAGCTAGATTTTATGTTTAAGCCTCAACAATGGGACTTGAAGGCACAGCGTTCAGACTCAGAGACGAAAGTGCTGTCACTGAACTTCAGATAACACTCAACACTCAAAAATAATGAGTAAGGTCCAATTATATCACCTTTTGGAATGTAAGGTGTCAAGATTAGTGAAAATTTAACTGAAAATAGTGACCATGTGAGAATGCAGTGCCGTCACAATTTTCAGAATTTAATAAAATGCAAGATGCTCCATATTAGTGTATCAGTAAGATCAGAAAAACATTTTAGTCTTAAAATCATAAAAAACTAACGTAGTTCTTTGTCATGAGGGAAGCAAGTCATTTTCAAAGTAAGAATAATGAGGCACTTTTCATTATCAACACAACCAATTGTTAAAAGTAATGAAGCAGCAAGCAAAACTCTCTCTAGATTTGAGGAGGCAGCATCAAATTAGCTAAAAGAAGCAAAATACTTTACACGCTGGATTCTGAAACAAACAGAAGATGCTGGAGAAATTCAGCAGGTCTGGAAGCATTTGGCGAGAGAGAAACAGAGCTAACGCTTCAAGTTCAGTATGACTCTTCTTCCAAACTCTTGTTCTGAATCCCAGTTCTGAAGAGGAGTCATACTCTTGAAACATAGGACTTGAAACAATAATGCTGTTTCTCTCTCCAGAGCACGAAATCAGCAATGGATGCAATATAAGGAAGCAATAGAGGATGCGGAGTGGGAAGATGGCTGGGGAGAACTACTTACTGGTCTTGTCACAAAATAAACTGAATGTTGTATTTTTTACTGAGATAATGGGCAAATTTGACAATTACTGCACAAAATTTCATACCAGCTGAGCCATATGAAGTAGCTTTATTATATTATCAAGTACACATCAAATTAATAGTTGTCTTTTGTTTTGTTTTGTACAATACCTTCTAAACGTGCGTTTATTTTGCTTTAAATAAATTTATTGGTCCAAAATATAGCAACCCTTTTCCTGAAAAAAAACTTTCCAAAAAGTATTAGACAAGGACAATATAAATGATTAAACAATTACTGTACCAGTTGTAGGCTACAAGCATCAGGAGGTTTCTCAAAGGCCACCCTGGATATTGCATTAATGTACAAGGATCATAGACACCAATTGTAACCTGCAGGAGAAAACTACTTTTAACAGGAAGTGGCTACCAAAGCACTCAAAAAATTAAAATGGTAATAATAACAGTTTAAAGTAATCCAAAAAAAATCTTGTACTGTAAAATTGGAAACTGTCTACATTTCGCTATTGCTATGATAAGATAATTGGATATTTTATTAAATTCAAATTATTTTATAAAATTACTAAACAATGTATTCTTGGCAGCAGCCCATTTGGCTACCCCTAATTCAGGTTTTTTTCCCCCAAGCTGATTGTGCTCTCTTGATACACTCGCAAACCTAAGAACTTTAGTGAAAAGTTAGATTAGCACATGTATGTGTTACACAAGGAGAGGATAATTTTCATATTTCCAGACGTGCAATTAGTGAGCTTAGTTTGGGGAATAAAATGGTGGCACTTTCCTCTGCAAGATATTGAGTGCTGGCTAAGAATTTGAATGAACCAGCAGCACAAGAACTTCCTGAACTGCACAACTTAAGAAATAACTATTCAATGATGTATTGATAAGTGTATGTAGTTTTATTTCCAGTAGAACAAGCTGAACTTGATCAAACAGGCATCTCTATTTTAGACCAAGTGGTTGCATCACTGCAAAGGATATCTACTTGACAGGAGAATGACTTCAGCAAGAAAAGGTTGAATGCCATCTACAAAGTTACACTGAGTCACCCCCAGTACGAACAAGCCAGCTGATAGCTGCTCAGCAAATTCAGAACCACCTTCAGTCACCCAATCATTTCTCCACTACACATCTAATCCTTGGATGTAAAATTGTACCTTGGTCTGACCTTTGAAAAATTCATTCCAGTTTCTCAAAGAGGCCAACGAAACAGAATCTTCCTTGTACTTGACCAGAAAATAGGGAACTGCTGTAACTTCCTCCTTTTGACAAAGCTTATTGTAAGCGTCTTGTAATGCCTGGATCTATTCAGATAAGAGTATAAAAGAACTCAGCAAACCAATACATGCAGTTTTACTTCAAACTTTACACTGATGGAATTTGCAAGGCAACACCGCTGGGGCCCTTTCTCCCCCAGCCCATCAGCCCTGCCGAGGTTCCACCCACCTTCCAGTAGATCCTCCACCTCTGCTCCCCTCTTGATGTCATCCCCATCGTCCACTTTCACTTTCTTCCCTTCCCCAATTTCTGCCTTACTCTCCACCTGGTCCATCACCTTCCTCTCCCCGCCCCGTTTGCTTGCCCTCTCATGATCCCCTTTCCCTCAAACCCCAAGCTTAGTTTTCACCACCCACAGTCTGAGCTTCTAAGCTTCCCTACTTGCAATCTCCCCTCTCATCTCACCAAACTCCTGTGCTGTAATCTTTCTATAATTCTATGAGATTCAATCTCCCTAATCTCCACTGGCACCTTTCTCAATGCCCTTGTTTTCCCTTACCAACCCATTTTGGCATCTACCTACAAAACACCACATGTACCCTCGGTCTCCTCTATTTGAGCTCCTCCTGTCTTGACCCCTTCCTCTAATCCCTTATCTTTACCTACTTGCTGGCAGCCACTATTAAAACATTAAGTCACATTCAGAGATACACAAATTTTTATTCACTCATGGGACGTGGGTGTTGCTGGCTGGCCGGCCAGCATTTATTGTTCATCCTTAGTTTTCCTCAATAAGCTGGTGGTGAGCTGCCTTCTTAAACCACTGGAGCCCATATGCTTAGGTAGACTCACATTACCATTAGGGAGGGAATTCCAGGATTTGACCCGGCGACAGTGAAGAAGCAGTGATATATTTCCAGGTCAGGATGGTGAGTGACTTGGAGGGGAACCTGCAGGACATAGCATTACCATATATCTGCCACCCTTATCCTTCTAAATCGAAGTGGTCATGGGTTTGGAACGCTCTAAGGTGTGTTGCTGAATTTCTACAGAACATCCAGGAAATAGTACAAACTGCTGTTACAAAGCATTGGTGACAGAGGAAGTGGATGTTTGTGGATGCGGTGCTAATCAAGCAGGCTGCTTTGTTCTGGATGGTGTCAAGTTTCTTTAATGTTCTTAGAGCTGCAGTCATCTAGACAAGTGGGGGAGTATTCCATTAAGCTCCTGACTTGTGCCTTACAGATAGTGCACAGGCTTTCAGGAGTCAGGAGGCAAGTTACTCACTGTAGTATTCCTAGGCTACAAGCTGCTCTTGTAGCTAAAGTAATTATATGTCCAAATCCAGTTCAGTTTCTGGTCAATGGTAACCTCCAGGATGCTGATAGTGTGGGATTTATTGGTGGTAATGACATTGAATTTCAAGGGGTGATGGTTAGATTCTCTCGCTGGAGATGGTCATTTGGGTAGCTCACATGTGACTTACCACTTGTCAGCCCTAGCCTGGATACTGTACAAATTTTGCTGCCTTTGAACATGAACTGCTTCAGTATTGAGTCATTGTGAATGATGCTGAACATTAATCAGTTATCAGCAAACATTCCCACTTCTGACCTTACGATGGAGGGAAGTCGTTGATGAAACAGTTGAAGATGGTTGGGTCTAGGACAATATCCTGAGAAACACCTGTGGAGATGTTCTGGAGCCGAGATGACTGACCTCCAACAGCCACAACCATCTTCCTATTTGCTAGGTATGAATCCAACAGACAGAGAGCTTTCCCCCTGATTCCCATAGACTCCTTGAAGCTACACTTGGAGAAATGCAACCTTGACGTAAAGGGCAGTTACTCTTACCTCACCTCTGGAATTCAGCTCTGTTGTTCATGTTTGAACCAATAATTTGATGAGGTCAGGAGATAAGTGGCCCTGGCAGAACCCAAACTGGGGTCACTGAGCAGGTGCTGCTTGATCGCATTATTGATGACATCTTCAATCACTTTACTGATGATCAAGAATAGACTGATGGGCGGTAACTGGCCAGGTTGGATTTGTACTGCTCTCTGTACTGGGCATACCTAGGCAATTTTCTAACTGTTAGGTAAATATCAATGCTGCAGTTGCACTGGAAGAGATTGGCTTGGGGAGTGGCAAGTTCTGGAGCACGGGTATTCAGTACTATTGTTGAAACATGGTCACGGCTCATAGCCTTTGCAGTATCCTACCATTTCTTGATATCGCATGTAATGAGTTGAAATGGCTGAAGATTAGCACCAGCAATACTAAAGGATCTCTGGAGGAGGGCAAATACAGAGGTCAAGGTGAAAATATTCACCACTGGTGATATAAAAGCATTAGCTGACTGGGGGACAGAAGAAAGCTGGCAAGAAACTTTCAGTAAAAGGTTGCCAATATGCGTGGCTATTTTTCTCTGTCACACGTTTACAGCACAGGAAAGTGATTTTGTAAACCACTCATCTCTTGGGTTCACCAATTTCAAAGAGTGAGTGCAAGAAGTCATTTCATTAAAAATTATATCAACTTTATTCAAGATTTTTGAATAATATTTTCAAAATGTACACCTTTCCCACTGGCTGAATTTTATTAAAAAGAATTAGAACAAAGTAAAAATATGTTGCCAATGTCCGATTTTGGGGCAGAAGCATTACTAAAATTCGAAAAATATTTGATGATGAAGAAAAAGATCCACAATGTGGCTTCCCTTCTTAAATACCTGACATGTGGAGAACTTTTCCGCCAAGCTGACCGGTTGTTGGGATATGGGTATCACTTCAGTGAAACACAGTGCTGGAAACGCGAACCAGTAGTAGAAATGATACTTTTTTAAATCCTGCAAAATATAGATTCATTGAAACAAATCCCTCAAGACTAACAGTTTTAAAAATTAACAGCAATTTTAAAAAATGCAAAGTATTTCTCAATCTCACTCAAACATCCTGACATCCAATCAACAAGAATCGGGCCGGGTACTGTGTTCATGGTGCGTGGAGCAAAATGTAAGAGGTGAACTATTCAACTAAGTGAGGTATCTGAAAAGAGCAATATCCTGTTTCACCAGACACCTTCATGTATATATTTTCAGCAAAAATCACCAGAAATGTTTTGCTTCCATAACAGGGCATGGTAAAATCCACATTCTGATTTCAGAATGAATTTCGGTCATAACATGGATAGAGGTCAGCTAACTGCACACACTACCAGATGAATCTCAGACCTTCCTAGTTTACATGGCCGAGTGTCTCAGGTCTATAATTGTCATCCCTGTCACAAAAGGAAATTATGCTTCCAAAGCATAAGTCAAACAATTTTGTAACCACTGCTTATGTTTTCCAGAGAACAGAAATGGATGAACGGAGATGAATATTATAGCAAATGGCATTTTCTCTCAAAGACTCAGTAGTCTTGTTTATAATTAAGTTGGAGTTGGTGCAGGCACCACTCTCAGTTGCAACCAATAACCTGATAGGGAGTTGGGAAGGGTGGTAAAGGGAAAATTTCACAAGCATGTCAAAAGCTTAGCCAAAGTGTTGGATGTTTTGAATGTGAGTTCTCTATTTACAAAAGCTTTCAATATCGCAACAGGAGTGTTATTTCCCAGTCTAAATTGTTATTTTGCAAGAAGACATTATTCATCTATTTGTTTAGGACTAACTGAAAACATCAAGTTGTTAGCCGTTGTTAGTATTTGTAATAGAATCTCTTTTAAAGGCAATTAACCATTGAGGCAAAGTAGAAGCTTCACAGCTGGCAACTTACTCTGCACCATAAAACGTTCAATCCACTTCAATTACTATTGTTAAATCTTTGTTCCTTGTTAATGCATTTTATATGTACATATTATTCCCATGTAATAGAAATATCTTGATTTAAGTAATTCAGAAACTACTGCCATCTCAACCACATACAAGATCAAAATATTTCCAAAAATGTTGGCAGTAACTATTCAAACAATAATAGTCCTGGGCTTATAATACTTAATTTACATTCAGTTTCAAATTTGAGCTCTAAAAGTGGAAAAAATATTTGAAGGAGAATTCAAGGGTGACTGACGGGATAAGCTCAGGAGTTTGAGTGCAGACTGAGTGTTGCATCTGTAGAAGTCTTAAAAAAAAAGGAAAGAAATGTCAAGCTGAAAAAAGCAAAGTACAGGAAAGAAGTAAAACTTAAATCCTAAGCTTCTGAGTAAAGGTAGACTTTCTGGAAGAACCAAACTGAAAAAACTTCAAAGGAAATATGGTCAGTTTTACATTTAAGTTTAAATAGTGCTTAAACAAATTCTTTATATCTCATCTGTTGAAGAAATGTTAATTGCTGATGAACAACATGGTTGGTGGAAAAAATTACAAAACATTGATTAGATGCTAGTTTCAAATATGTTTTCAACAATTTGATAGCTTGTTTTCATACGAGTTGGTCATCTGCAATGTTAGTTTTCCTAACTGTTTCGTAAAAGTTAGACATTTGTAAACTCAGCAGAGTTAACTATGTAGTTCACAGTTATATGAGCTAATTTGAAATTTGACAAAAAGAACAATGATGCTATTGACCAGAAAGGTGAGATTTTAACTCATCCACAACAAACCGCTTGCAGAGATGAAATAAGATCAATGAGTGCAACATCAAACAAATTTGATTATTGTAACTATACAGATATGGAGATGTACGAAGGAGATGTTCTTTTTTCAATCTTGATCACAGGTCTCAGTTCTGATTTAGAGGGTGATGATTGTTTGACTCCAAGATTAGAGAACAATTTCAGCTGACACTACAGTGCAATGCTCTGACAGCATTACACATTTGAGAGGTTGCCCTTTAAGTAATCAAAGGACCTATCTGATCTACTGGATTAGGGTGACATTGAAGATCCCATGACACTGTTCAAAAACATCAGGTAGCATCACTCAGATAAAAGGGCACCATTCACATGCTAGTTTAGTCTAGCACCATGCCTCTGAGGTACAACATAAAGGATTCAAACAAAACTTGAGCAAACAATCCAGGCTTACATTTCAGCACAATGCCAAGTGAGTATTTTATTTTCAGAAGTGTACTATGAAGTGGGACATTAAAGAGTCATTCCAGCTACCTGTACACATGGATGTAAGAAACACACAAGTCAGTATTAGAAGAGCAGGATTTCTTTCGGATTCAAGTAATATTATCAATCCAAACCTCAAATCAGACACATTGGTTAATTAATGCTTATAGGATATTAGCTGGTGCATTTGTCTACCTAACACAAAGACAACAGGTCCAAAGCAATTAATTGGCTCTGAAGCATTTTGTGATTCCTTGGGAACATGAAAGATATTACAGAAATGCATGCTACTTCTTCCTGACAGTGTCTAAGTAAACATTCCTTTTCACTGCTAACAATAAATTGACTGATCATATAACACATTGCTAAAGAGATCTTTAATAATTACCTAAAAAAGTAGTTGCACATCAAAATAATAAAGCATGTGTAAATTTGTCTGAAATAAGAGAAGCAAGTGAATAGATGCATCGCCACAAAATTACAACAGCATTTGTAACATAGTGGAAGGAAACTGATCCTCTGAATTATGAATAATAGGAATTAATGAATCAGGTTTTAGGACAGAAAATGGTTTTAAAACTTGCTTAAATTGTAATTTCTGCTAATATATTTTCATAGTCTATGAAATGAGAATGTACTATATTGCGAATTTTTAAAAAAAAGATACTTACTGCAAAAGTCAGCAAGAGAAAAGTGTTCAGCAAAGAAGGATCTTCAATTGCACTGCCAGATTTTATAGCATCCCAAATCTACAGGACAGATAACGTGACATAAAACATTGATTTGAGAATAGTTCTCAACCAAAGATGAAATATAATGGAATTCAATTTGATAAATTTTCAGCATCCAAACAGGCCTGCTAAGCTAAATGGACTGCTTCAAGATTACAATATGATTTAAAATTATTATAGGTAAAAATACCACAGCAGTGGCATCCAGTTTCAAACATACAAATGCAGAAGGATTGGATGCTGCACAAGTTATTTCATTCCTCATGCTCTCTGTTTTTTTATATACTGTGCCTAGTAACCAAGGAGCCAGCTTGGTTTATCTCCACAACTATAGTTCATCTGTAGTAGCTTACACAGCTATCATAAAAGAATAATTTAAAACAAAGAAGTTAATTCAGATCACATTAAATTCAATGTTGGTGTTACAGGACTGATTTGCGGTCACTAGTAAATTTACAGATAACCAAAGTTTGTGAAAAGGGCAATTGCCTTAACATAGCTGGTAAGTATCCTTGGCTTTTTTAAAATGCAAACTGGCAAACTGGAGTTCACATTAGGCTATCACCTCACAATCTGGTATCACATGAGACATCAGCATCTGCTCTATCTATTATCAAATTGTGGGTAAAATAATCACAATCATCATTTTTGTCATTCAGGTCAGATGCTCACCACTTGTTTCTGTGGATCAGCTGACCCAAACCATAGATGTAAACAGCAGCAAGAGGAATGAAGGATGACTGTCCTTAAGGAACACACAAGTAAATAAATGAAGTTTTTAAAATCTGACCCACACTCCTTAAAGTTATTCATCTTAAAAATCACAAACACCTGACCCTCAAGGAATAAAGAATGTTGTCTTTTGCAACTCACCTCCTTTCCCACTTGCTCCAGCAAAGCCTTTTTATCAGTGGATTTAAATGACTGCAAGGTGTTGGTATTATACAGAGTGCCGAAAGCAGGGCAACACCGAGGTGGGGTCACAGCATTCCTAAGTGAACATGCAAAATTATTTTCTTACACCAGTAAGAAGGATGTTAAATAATACTTTAGTTGTTTCGGATGCACATTATTTAGTCTGAATTCAACCATATTTCTGAAGGTGTCCTTTGATTGGGTAGATTGAAGTCGCCCATAAGGCCATTGAACAATGTTGACTACATAAATGATTGATAATGAAATGGAATTTGAGAATGTCTGCGGATAGACTATTCTTTGCTGCAAGTAATAATAGGCAAATGATATTAATGCCACAAGTACATTTCAACTAATGTACCAAATTTGACAGTGTGTACTTATGAAATACACAACATTCTTTGGGAACTTGACAGGGTAGATGCAGAAGGGTTGCTTCTCCTTGTGGAAGAGTCTCAGACCAGAGGGCATAATCTCAGAATAAGGGGCTGCATGTTTAAGACAGAGATGAGGAACAATTTCTTCTCACTGAGGTTAGTGAATCAATGGGCCACATGAGGCACAGAGGTGATGCCTGCCCTCACTAAAATAGTCTAATGGCACTTGTAGTCAAGGCTCACAAACAGCAAGGTGACAAATGACTGTTGGAGAGCATCTAAAAATCTATCTGACAAGGAATCAACACGTTTGAGACAGAACAAGCTAAAAAGTGAGAGTAGTTTGTGGTTTCTGCCATAAATAAAGTGGCTAGGATCTCAGCTGTAGTTCTTTCAATGTGTCCACATTGATTCTAAAGTCATGGTGATATAATAGCAGAGCTGCTCCATCCTGCATCACATTTCATTGAAACAGCAGCAGCTTCAAAATCAGAACAGAACAAAACAAAAAGCTTCACAATCACCAGAACCATATTAACAGGGGAATTGCAAACTATAAAAAAGATTCATTTCATGAGAAAACTAAATTCCTGAACTAATAAACAATTGGTCGAGGATTTATTTAGAACTGAATCATGGCACAGAAAATAATGCTTTCACTGCTGAATCCTCAAAGCATGAGAAGGCATCCAACTAACAGAACACAAAATATTGCAGTTTGCTATTTTAACATTAAATTCAGCTAATAGCAAGCTTCTGGAACAAAGTTTGGCATTTGAAGTTTCCAATATAGTCATATTAATCAGATCTGAATTTAAAACTTTTATTTAAATGACAATGATATTTATTATATAAAAACACATTTACATTGCTTTTATATTTTCGATCCATTTCTAATGGAAATATCTGTTTTCTCTTTTGCTACTTCCATTTGCATTTTTACTGCAGGATGATATAAACAAGGAGCAACTGTGTATGCAGATTTTTTTCCAAAGTCATGTACACACAGTCTTCAGCAATGACATTCAGATTAGCAATATTAAAATCAATGGCCAGGCAACCAGATTAGCCTAGATTCCAAAATGTATTGTTAATTGCTGCAGTTGGAGTTTTGGTAGCAGTAACATATAATATCCACACCAGTATGGATTACTGTCTCTCATGGGAACAGGAGGCAGTCATTGGCACTACAAACGAGCTGGCTATGTTACTTTCATCATCAGAAGCCACCCTGCAGTATAATGGGGCTACTGAGGTATAGCCAACGTGGAAAACTGTACCCATTTTCAACTTCTAATTCAGACCTATATTGAAGAGAAACAAAGAAACAGAAAACTTCACTGATAACGCATGACTCTCAATACACAATAACTGCTTCAACCAGCATACATGCATAATCCCTTTGCCATCCCAATCACTCCAGTTATTTGTGTGTATTTCAGTTTAGAGCTCCCTAAAACATAAAAAGAAACAATGAAGTCTTTCCTTAAATCTCTAGCAGGAGCAATCAAAACTCAATCTCAAAGTTACCAAGTGACCGCAAACTCATTCATTAATGAATAATGGATACTGTTAGTTTGAATGAAGTTTAAAAAGGTCTGGTGGCTGGGTGACATTCTAATTGATCAGAATTTGGCAGTCTCTCCATCTAAAATTTTCACAAAGTTTTAGCATCGAAATTCAGCTGCATCAATGCCTACCAGTAACAAAATAGCATTTCTTAATTTAGATTTGTTCATTTTAAATAAAGCTTTTTAAAATGATTATTTCAAAACGTCAATAATCTGTCTGGAAAAATGAAGTTTTTGGTTTTATTCAGAGGATACATACATGACAATCTATTTCCTTTTCACATTTATCCATCAATTAACAAATGTCAGAGAGAATGCAACATTTACAGTGATGTGTCAGTACAAACTAAGTTAAGCTTAGAAATGAGGCAAGGCTGCCACACACGTTTATTGGCAGCAACAAAAGCTTCTTTAAAAGCACTCAGTTGTCAAAGGCAATTCCATGTAGGTGAAGAGCAAATATTGGTGTTACTGCTAATCTTTACTAAGGTTCCAATACAATGATTCAGTTTCTCAGATAGCAATAACTTTCGAAACAATTAAAACTGACACCTACTGAGATTCAACTTAAAACAACTAAGAAGCACGGCAGTGATCAAAGATGAAATAAGGCACTTTAACACTCCTTCAAACGCTGCTGAAAAAGTACTGATGATCCCACAATTACTCACACATCAAATGCACTGAACTCCAAAGTTAGTCGAGTTGGCAGTCCAGCAGGATCACCTTTCGAATAAGAAAATAGATTTTATTTTGCTGCATGCTGCTTTAAAATAAGTTTTTTTAAGTATAAAGCCAGTAATAATGCTTGATCGAGAGGTGTGGGGGGGCCTTTGCAAATTAAACCCAGGACAGTGCTTCCCCCCCACAAAGGTGCTGGTACCGTTATAGTAATAGCCCCTGATATTTCGGGGGCTCTCGTCCAGTCTGTAGTCGTTCAGTTTCCTCTGGGTGAGCTCATGCCAGAAACCTGCGTCCAAAGCGCTGCTGAAGGGAGCAAACTGCAACGCCAGGCGCCCAGGGCCCGTGCCGTCCATCGCGAACACTTCCGCGTTGAACCAGCCGCCGCCTGGCGCGCAGTTAGCTCGTCACACCGCCCGGCGCAGACAGATGACATCACCGAGACCGCCCCGCCCCATGCCTTCCCTCCCCCGCCCCCCCACAAGGGGGCGGGGCGAAGTGAAGGGTTTCAAATCCAAACAAGACCCTTCCACCACTTCTGTCAGATTCTGCAGGAAAACTAAAACCAAACAAAAACTCCTTCCTAAACTCTGAATGACTCTTGACTGCAGCAACTGCCATTATTTGGAAGGGCAGACATCCTGAACTCACTGAGTTATACATATTTACAAATTGCAAATACTCACACATGACAAAAGATCTCAGGGGTGTGGAATATAACAAACTATGTTGCTGAGCCATAGAAAGAGGCTTGTGGTCAGACGATCAATATTTAGTCAGCAGGATTTTGAGAAAAGTGTCTCTAGAAGAAAGCACGTTACAGAGTTGGAGAGCTGGAAGGACAGAATTTTGGAGCTCTTGATCTAGGCCACTGAAAGCAATTCTATCATTGGTAAAGCAGTTATAATTGTGAATGCATAAGAGATCAGAATTTGAGAAGCACCGAAAACCCAACTAGTTTTGATGCTTGTGTGATGCCTCTCTGCTGGTATGCAGTATGCCTTTAAGAGAAATAAAAAATAGTTTGAAGGACAGTCATATCACACTCAAAATGTTAACTCTGTTTCTCTCTTCTCAGATGCTGCCAGACGTGCTGAGTTTCTCCAGCACTCTTTTTGTTTGAGATTCCCAGTGTCTGCATTCTATTTTATTATACCTTTAAGAGACACAAAAAATAGCAGCACCATCTGACCTTTATTCATTTTGTGAGATGTCAGTGTCGCTGGCTCGCCAGCATTTATTGGCCATCGATAGTTGCCCTTGAGAAGGTGGTGGTAAGCTGCCTTCTTGAACCGCTGCAGTCCTCCTGCTGTGGGTTGACCCACAATGTCATTAGGGAGCGAATTCCAGGATTTGGACTGAATAACAATGAAGGAACGGCAATATATTTCCAAGTCAGGGTGGTGAGTGACTTGGAAGGGAACTTGAAGGTGGAGGTGTTCCCATAAATCTATTGTCCTTGTCCTCCTAAGTGGAAGTGGTTGTGGGTTTGGTAGGTGCTGTCCGCGGATCTTTGGTGAATTTCTGCAGTGCATCTTGTAGATAGTACACGCTGCTGCTACTGAGCATCGGTGGTGGAGGGAGTGGATGCTTGTGGATGCAGTGCCAATCAAGTGGGCTGCTTTGTCCTGGATGGTGTCAAGCTTTTTGTGTGTTGCTGGAGTTGCACTCATCCAGACAAGTGGGAGTATTCCATCACACTCCTAACTTGTGCCTTGTAGATGGTGGAAAGGCTTTGAGGAGTCAGGAGGTGATTTACTCACCACAGTATTCCTAGCCTCTGACCTGCGCTTGCAGCCACTGCGTTTAATGTGGTAGTCCAGTTGAGTTTCTGGTCAATGGTAACCCCCAGGATGTTGATAGTGAGGGATTCAGTGATGGTAACACCATTGAATGTCAAGGGGCAGTGGTTAAATTGCCTCTTATTGGTGATGGTCATATCCCGGCACTTGCGTGACACGAATGTTACTTGCCACTTGTCAGCCCAAGCCTGGATATTTCCAGATCTTGTTGCATTTGGACACGGATTGCTTCAGTGTCTGAGGAGTCACAAATGGTGCTGAACATTGTGCAATCTTCGGCCAACATTCCCACTTCTGACCTTGTGATGGAGGAAAATTCATTGATGAAGCAGCTGAAGATAGTTGGCCTGAGGACACTACCCTGAGGAACTCCCGCAGAGACGTCCTGGAGCTGAGATAACTGACCTCCAACAATCATGACTTTCTTGCTATGTGTCACATATGACGCTAACCACCGGACAGTTTGCCCCCTAATATCCATTGATTCCAGTTTAGCGAAAGCTCTTTGATGCCACATTTGGTCGAATGCAGCCTTGATGTCAAGGACTATCACTCTCACCTCACCTTTGAAATTCAACTCTTTTGTCCATGTTTGAACCAAGGCTATAATGACGTCAGGAGCTGAGTAGCCCTGGCAGAACCCAAATAGGGCATCACTGAGTAGGTTATTGCCGAGGATGTGCTGCTTGATAGCACTGTTGGTGACAGCTTCCTTCACTTTACTGATGATCAACAATAGACTGATGGGACGGTAATTGGCTGGGTTGGATTTGTCCTGCTTATTATGTACAGGACATACTTGGGCAATTTTCCACATTATCAGGTAGATGCCAGTGTTGTAACTCTACTGGAATGGCTTGGCTAGGGGAGCAGCGAGTTCTGGAGCACAAGTCTTCAGTACTAATGCCAGAATGTTGTCAGAGCCCATGGCCTTTTTTAGTATCCAGTGCCTCTAACTGTTTCTTGAAACCACGTGGAGTGAATCAAATTGGCTGAAGACTGGTATCTGTAATGCTGGGGACTACTGGAACAGGCCGAGATGGATCATCCACGCTTTTCCAGTGCCTAGGTCAATGCCAGGTGATCTGTCTGGTTTCATTTCTTTGAGACTTTGTAGTGATTGGTACAACTGAATGGTTTCCTAGGCCATTTCAGAGGGCAATTAAGAGTCAACCACATTGCTGTAGGTCTGGAGTCACATGGAGACCATACCAGATGAGGATGGCAGATACTTTAAAAGTCTTGGAGCTCATCTTAGCCTTTGACTGTAACATATGTATATATCAGGAGCTGTAATAAACGGCAATTAAATCTTTCAGGACTACCTTAGCCACACATCAAGCTCTTATGTTAAAAGAATTAATGCAAGTCTTGCCCCATCTGGTACAAATAACTCGAGAAAATCTGGAATAAAAAAGTCGCCTAACTGGTTGATTGTCATAAAAAAATCTCACTGTTTAATGTGCTTCAGGAAAGGAAATCTGCCATGTGACCCTGACCTGGCCTCTTGTGACTCCAAAATACTGTAGCTCTTTGACTCTTAATTGCCCTGTGGGCAAAATGTGGTTACAAAGCATTGCCAGCTTTATTTGGAAGAATAAATACTTGATAATGCATAACTTAACCATTGGAAAGGGAGTCCTGAAAGCGAAGCCACGATGGAAAAAATACCTGGAACTTGTCTGGGTAACTGGTCTATCTCTTCAACTTCATTGGACTAGTTATAAACGAAGATATAACTTTCACTCCATTGCAAGAATAAGTCAACTGCAATCAAGCTTAATTTCTTAGCAATTCCTATTTCCACTTCTTCAGGAGAACAAGTCACACTTTAATTGTATTTTATGTGATAGTTTATCATGTTGTTGAGATTAAAAAAAAATACTTTGTCATGTTTGTCCTTCATGTTTATCATGAAGACGCCGAGAACTGTGGTCTTTGGTCATTCTAACGTTACTAAAAAGAAAAACACAGTTTTAAAACATTAACAGTACAATTTAGAGTATTACTCATTGCCTTATTTAATATATGGCATTTCTTCGTAAGAGGGTTACTTTTTGGACTGGAGGTCTGTGATCAGCAGTGTGCCACAAGGATTGGTGCTCGGTCCACTACTTTTCGTCATTTATATAAATGATTTGGATGTGAACATAGGAGGTATGGTTAGTGAGTTTGCGGATGACACTAAAATTGGTGGTGTAATGAACAGCAAAGAAGGTTACCTCAGTGTACAACGGGATCTTGATTAGATGGGCCAATGAGCCGAAGAGTGGCAGATTGAGTTTGATTTGGATAAATGTGAGGTGTTGCATTTTGGAAACACAAATCAGGGCAGGACTTATACACTTAATGGTAAGGTCCTGAGGAATGTTGCTGAACAAAGATACCTTGGAGTGCAGGTTCATAGTTCCTTGAAAGTAAAGTTGCCGCTAGATAGGATAGTGAAGAAGGCATTTGGTATGCTTGCCTTTATTGGTCAGTGCATTGAGTATAGGAGTTGAAAGGTCATGTTGCAGCTGTACAGGACATTGCTTAGGCCACTTTTGGAATACTTTTGGAAAGATTTACAAGGATGTTGCCAGCGTTGGAAGGTTTAAGCTATAGGGAGAGGCTGGATAGGCTGGGGCTATTTTCCCTGGAGCGTTGAAGGCTGAGGGGAGACCTTATAGAGGTTTATAAAATGATGAGGGGCATGGGTAGGGTAAATAGACATGGTCTTTTCCCAGGAGTGGGGGAGTCAAAAGCTAGTGGGAATAGTTTCAAGGTGAGAGGGGAAAGATTTAAAAGGGGCTCAAGGGCAACTTTTTCATGCAGAGGGTGATATGTGTATGGAACGAACTGCCATAGGAAGTGGTGGAGACTGGTACAATTATAACATTTAAAAGACATCTGAATGGGTATATGAATCATAAGCGTTTAGAGGGATACGGGCCAAATGCTGGCAAATGAGACTAGATTTATCTAGTATATCTGGTCAGCATGGACAAGTCAGACCGAAGGGTCTGTTTGCGAGCTGTACATCTCTAAGACTCTATGACTGTATAACTGAATTTGGTTGTTGTAAAGCAATTTTACACCTAGTTGCATATATTATGAAATTGACATATAGTTACTGCAACTTTTTTTCCCCTCAAATGAATAATCGTCCATCAAGAAAGGTCTTAGACAATAGGCTATTCTTTGTTTAGGAATGGGGCAAAATGATGATATTGTCAAATACAAACTGGATTGCCTTGCAAAAAATAGAGGTGTACTGATTTCTAGGCAATAGTTTAACACAGGCATAAATCCTGTTACTGGATGCAGAGATTATGGGTCAGTTTGTTCCCAGTACAATATCCTGTAAACTATTTGGTGCTAATTTATCCTGTGGCACTTTACCCGTTCCTTGTTCAAATAGCTGCTTACCAATTCAATTATTCTGGTTGACTTATTAATATGCCATAATATATCATAAAGACATAATAAATGCATTAATTAAATAACATAAATGGCCTAATTTCCAAATATGTATGCAATGCCTCTCTTATAATAACAATGTCAAACATTAGGATGTAGTGCTGGGGCTAAGGGTGAACTGTGGATTATTCATATTTTCCCTGCCCCAACATACTTATAACA